GAGGGGAAAAAGGGGGGGGGGGCAGCGCACCGGGCACGCAACACTGTCGCCTGCGCTGGACTGGCGTGGTCAGTATGGGAGGACAGCTTGCACTGTGCGCTCCGCCAGGATTGCGAGGGAAGACCACGGCTGTGAGCAGACCGCAACTGGGCGAGATATCTAGGCGTAAGCAAAACAGGCCGGCCCCAAGAAAAACGTTTTTTTCACGAAGGCCTCATTGTGACCACTGAAGGTCACGATTTCTTGAACTTGTGAGGTCACCCGTGAGGTCACAAGTGCAAAAATTGTGACCTCGTAAGTCATAAAGAGTTCACAATGAGGTCTTATTCTAGAGAACCACGTTTTCCTTGGGGCATAGAGGTTATTCCAGAAAAAGTCTTACCCAAGAACACGGTTTTGTCAAAATGACATCACACGCAGAAAAAAAATATTCAGTTCAGTGCTAATTTTTTTAATAGTACGTCGGTTGCTGTCCGACTAGAAAAATTAGCGCGGGTGCTAATCGTGTTTGCTGAGTTCATCAATCAAGTTAACTAAATGTTTTTCTCGAGAAAGATTTTGGAGAAGCGTTCTGCTTTGCTTATTTGCTAATTTTGTTACCTGTGCCACTAAAACCCAACAGTTAAATAGGGGTAGCTGTGGTGAAACCAGCTTTTAGATACCAATCGAACTATTTTACATTTGGGTGTACTCTTAGCTCTCGCTGCTGAACCGCCACGCTCTATCAGCCATATGCCGGGGCCTCCGCATCCACTGATATCACGGCGCTCGCGCGCAGGTGATCAATTTTTGACAAGTCGTCGGCCTCTTGCGGCCTGAGGGACCTTTGACCCTCCAATGCCTCGCGCCCTTACTCTCAATCTCACCCCTTTCCCTCTTTTCGGCCAGAAAATTTACTTCCGACAAAATTTGCAATTCAGTCAATTATTTTCAGCACCTCAATTAAACCTGATTAGCACTGGTGCAAATCATGCTTTCGTAACGTGATTAGAACCGGGGCTAAATTTTTAGCTGAGTCTATTCAGTAAGTGAAAATTAGCACCGGTGCTATTTTTTAAGCACCCGGGCGAACTTTTTTTCTGCGTGCAAGTGATGTCAGTGTCAAGATTTGTTGTCAATTTTGCATCAAGTGACGTCTTAGAATGGTCATAATGACATCAAAGCTGCATCAAAGCAAAATGACCAAATATTGACACTGACATTATTTGACGTCATTGTGACCAAACCGTGTTCTCTAAGAATGACTGTTTCAACTGCAAAACTAAAAAGTTCTTTCGTTAGATTTTCAGGGCAGTTTTGTCAACATCAGAAGCGCTTCAATGCAAAATGGCCTTCCACCGAAAAAAACAAAGGTAGGACTTATAATGCCTTTCGAGGGTTGTTAAATTTTAATGCCCTTGCAAAGGCTCAAAAGTGTCCAATAAGACATTACATTTTAACACCTTTGGGCAGTTTTAATGCCTTTGCATGGGTGCTAATTGTTAATGCCTTTGTAAAGGCATTAAAACCCTTCGAGTCCTACCTCTGTTTTTCCAGTGTCAATGCGCGTAGAAATGCACACAGATAAAGGGTGACATTGGTGACGCATTAAATGCGAGTAGTGCGCTCTATAAATGCGCATTCACTGCTTTGAATGCGTCACCAACGTGTCACATTTTATGTGCATTTGTACGCGTATTGAAGAACATTTAATGGCGCTACTGGGACACCAACGTGCCATCTTTAAGAGCATTTTACGCGCATTGCTGTAGCTAATGCCCATTTGAGTGCATTAGCGATGCCAGGTCAGTGGCAAGATTGGGTCATTTTGGTGGCCTCTTCCTAGAAAAAC